AGTACCAAATAGTCATACGAGATATGTGCATCTCATCAAATTCAGCTTATACCATACCCACAATAATGTTACGGAGTCAGTGAGTTCAAGTTAGACAATACGCTGACCTTCCACTGACCATGCTTATAATATAAAATCTGTCAATGACAGCTGATTCACTGTTTAGTTTTTTATATGATATATTTAATATCAATAATATATGTATATGCATGCTTTATTTTACTTTACACGACCTCTAAAAATGCCCCAAATCGTAAAAATACGACTTTTTGGATTTCGATCTCCTTTTTTCGGCTACCCCGGACATTTTCAAAAAATGATACAATGATTTCACACAACAGGCCAGCTATTAGCCTCTCGATTGACAGGAGTTTCATCGCCCTCCATTCATTATAACCAATGTCATCGTGCCCTAAAGAATCAACAAATCAGCTTGCTTATCTCTGCTTACCCTATGCAAAAAATGCTCATCTTTGAACTCAATCATGACATTAACCTAGTGAACGCCTACACCAAGTTTGAACATTCTAGCTTAATTAGAAGGAGAGTTCTTGTGTTCCAAAGTCCCGGCCCTTCAAATTGCTTCTATTTTTCATTTTCAATTCAAAATGGTGACCATCACGTGACCGAAATCAAAATTCTGATCCGATAGATTTTTAGGCATTCCTTCCAGGATTCCGAAAATATGACGCCCGAGTCTGTAAGTAAAATAGCAAAAAAGCCTTTTTGATTTTTCACGTTTAAAGATGGTGGCACTTCTGGTTCGATCGACAAACTCCACATTTTGTGTACGAATCAGTAATTACTTGTCTAGTATCAAATTTTTTTTTAGGTCATTCTGACCTATATTTCGACGATTTTTTTGAAAACTTTGATCCTTAATTTCACCAAGGGGAGATAATTTAGAAAATTTCCAAGGACATCATTGAAGTCGCATTGGCAAGATCTACTAACATTTTAAATTTCACGAAAATCGCACAACTATTAAAGAAGTTGTCAAATTGGTAATAACTTCCGGTTCGAAATGACAGCGACGAATTTTCGAAATGCCAAAATCCGAAATTGCAGATTTGAAGTAAATGTTTCAAGATACTCAAAGAAAAAAGAATTAGTAAAATAGGTCAAACAGTCACAAAGTTACAGCATTGTAGGTAAAATGCATTCCTTCGTAAAATTCGGTGATTTCGGATTCGTAAAACGTTTTGAAAATATATTTAATCAACAGCCACCACCCATTTTTGGGGGGATAGGTAAAAGTTTCAGAACGATCCTATAGTTAGATTCTGAGAAATCCGATTTGTGGACAAAACACAAAAAAAAAAATAACAATAATAATCTTAACAGAAACAATAAGCTTTCATATGTAATATGAAAGCTTAATAATAGTTTAAAATCGTTTAGATAAATTGAAGTATGATTGAACTGTTGTAAAGATAAGGTTATTAATTTCGTTTGTGGAGTCATGCAAGCCATAGAGTAGAGTTATGCTGTTCTTAAACTCAACGACTTTTTTTCAACTGTCGTGGTTGGTTGAGATATATTGTTATGCAATCGACACATACGTTGCAGCCCGAAATCCCATTTGCACACATTACTTGTAAAGTTCGCAAACATCCCACACCCCAATTTTGCTAAATAAAGTTTTCTCCCTTGGACTTGAACATCCTATTGAAGTCGTACTTTATCGAAATATTGAAGTTAAATTTCAATGGAAAATACCGTATAGATATAACAGCCGATTGTGAAATACATTAATTCTAAAATGTCGTGAATTATTTAAAATAAGACATTCCTAATTGCGACTTAATGACACTTTGCTCAATGTGCCAAACCAATGCTTATTTTAATAATCTCTGAAAAAACATGACGTTTCCAAAAACAACTTTGAACATTGATCGTCTAATGGCTGGATTCTGTATAATGCAAGCTAACTCCCATCCATCTAGGCCTTTCTGAACTATCTGATCTTCCCAATAAGCCTTTTTGTCAATGATCGACAATGCTTTCTCTGCTTGTGTGTGTATCGTTTGCTCTGCAACAAAACCCTCGTAACGCGCAATACTTTCATTCCCTCCCGACAACGGTTTTTCAAAAACCCATAAATACGTCTTCTGTATTTCCTTTCCTGAGTTGGATTTTACAGATTTGCTGCTACCATCAGCAAATATATCAATTAACCGCCAACCTTGTTTTAAATGATTTTCAAAATGGTTACTCCAATCGCATTCCAGGCGAACACCTTTACCGAAAGCTCCCTCGTTCATTTTTTGTATCACTGAGACTGGTTCAATGAGATAAACATACATTTCTGGATCAAGGAAGGTTGGTGTGTCGAAGAAGAAGTCCATCTGGAGAACTGAAATTACGATTACAATGTATATATAACACGGAGGTCAATTGATCAAGTGTCCTGACTCCGGCAGCAACTATCGAGAATCGGTCCAAACACTTTAGCGCTGTAGTTAAATTCCTAGTCAATTCGGTGATAATTTTAGGCTTTAGTGTGTCTACGGGGCTTTTAAAATAGATCAAATTGAAAATCAATATAGACCGGGCGGGGAGTAGAGATTATATTCGAACACAGTTTAATGCGGCTTTTAAAAAACTATATGAAAATGAATACCTCCTGTCACACTACTAGGAATATCCGAATTAAAACAATGTCTGCCAATTAGTTTCCCCCATTGAATTTAATGTTAATTCTGGCCTCTTTGCCCGGCTCCAACATCTCCTCAAATTTTCTGTGGGCTGAACGCTTTTCCCTATAGAATGACATCTGACCATGTCTTTGCTACAAACTGTGTATACTGTTGACCAATGGCATTTTGAGATACACTCGAATTAGCATACAAATGCCATGTAACTACTCGCTGTACTTATCACCGTAATCAACCTATTAACACTGTTGCCTCTCCGCATCTAAATCATGGATATTTAACAAAATCGGGCAGAAAAAATGTTAATTCAAACCTTCCTCTTAATGCAATAGGGTAGAAACGGGGAGATGAACGATAAATTTAATTGTGTCTGTCTTCGTCTGGTAGACTGACACTATCTGTTACCAACCGGCTTGCTTCCATCTAAACTGAAATTAAATCCTTGATACATAGATGATCCGGTTAAAGCGGCCGTAACAAATCTGGCACCAGTTTTAGCTTTATCATGGATGAGATTAATAAGATGTTCAGTATTTGATTTGACCTCAAATTCTTGATCATTAAATCCGCCATCACCAACGATCTTTCCCAAAATATCCACATGCTCCACAGCGATGGTGTATACTTTATCATCTGTGGGATGCTCATTCTCATACAGAATAGCCTGGAATTTCTCACTACTGGACCCTTTGGTGCCCGTGTCTAAAGGCGGTGGAATATGGTGAAGAATGAGAAGACGTAACGGTGGATTCTGCTGATACATTTCTTGCAGCTCGTTTAGCTGAAGCTGAAGAGCATCAATATCTGTGACATGGCGCACGTGACCATCGGTTCTGCTAGATAGTTTGACAGGCATGACATTAAATTTGAAAACATAATTGAACTTCCTTACGTTGTGATCTTTGTTTGCGGTATCTTTCAGTACTGATAAAATATTTGTACCGTATTACTCGACGTGTTTTTTCTATGACGTCATAAACAAATAAATGAAAGCTGATACTCGTTATGACCACAATTAATATTGGCTGTGATAGTTCCTCAAGATTTCCCGACGTAGTTTTCCATCGTAAGTTATGCAGGACATAGCTATGCTATGCTATGCTATGCTATGCTTAATTTTAAACTCTGATTCATTTGAAGAATGTCATTTAGTGGTCATTACTATTTGTCTTCTTCGGACTAGGGAGGGGGGGGCGCTTTAGATCTCAAGGACTGTCATTAAGGCAAGAGGCGTGGTTTCAATTCCCAGCTTGACCACGACAAGGAGCAGGATTTTCTGTCCACCCTCGTGGGTTTTCTGTGCATCTTCCGTTTTCATCCCACTGCTAATGTGCACGTAGGTGAATTGTTGGAATAAATTTGAACCATATTGTTGTTATGTTAGTCCCAAAATGACCAAGTTTGTCGACGTTCAACTGCATTTCTCTATCAAACACTCTTTTGCAGTTTGAGTACATACCCGATTACTTTTGCCCCAGTGGAGTAAACAATATTCGGACGTCTTAATTTAATTTAAGGAAATTTTACAATGAATTGAATGGAGTAGGGTTCAACTTTTAGCCATGCACAGAACAAGCCATAGCCCACAGATAAACAGTGGTCTTCTATAGTCATTACGTTTCTATTCTAATGAAATTTCACAATGAATGGAAGGGAGAGAAGGGTTCAATGAATGGAACGAAGAGAAGGGTTCAATGTTTGGTTAATACAATACATCGGTCATTTTGAGAATAAAATATGGTCATTTCATTTCAATGGTTATGTGTGCAATGCAAGGGGGTGACATTTCTTGGACGGCGGCGCGTGCACCCGCACTTCTTCGCATTTCAACTGCTAGGCTGGGGATTCTGTACGTGTATGCCAACGTATACACGAATGGACAACGGTTTTTGTCCTATCAGTACAACAATGCACCGTTTCCATTTCAGACCTGCAGCCGTAACAGCTGACAAGTGAGGACAGGTCTTGAAAAATACCGAAAGTTTTTCTCTACCCTCGACGTAATTTAAACCCGGGGTATTCTAGAGGAATGTCTGGCCTACCACTCGACTACCACGGCTTCATGAACGTCTGCTTAAAAATAGAGGGCAGTACAAAAAAACAGTTTTCAAATCAAATGCAAAAAATAGCCGGGTTGCCTGTCAGAGAGTTTCAGTTTTGAAATATTGACACAGTTTGTAATTTTAAAATTGGAACACGAAAACGACCAACAAAATTGCATTACTCGCTCGAAAATGAAAGTATGTAGCGGCAAGTTATCACAGGCTTATCCTGCCACAAGGTGATTCCTAGTCAAGAATATCATCTCCCACTCCAAGGGACTAGAATAAATTGCCGCTCACCCTTGATTAAATATTTTATTTACCGTTATATATCTGTGGTTTACTCCTTTAAAGATGCATTATGTAAGATTAAGATAAAGGACTGAACGTTCTTGCTATAATAGTTCGCACAATAGATTGTGAAAAATGAATATTTTGAAAACTTCAGTCAAATTACAATACTTTGGGCGAAGTCATTAGTGTTCAAAGTTCGGTCAACATAGTCTCGATTGTCTAGTACGATTACTACGATGATCCATTTTTACATCAAACTGTTCAATGGCGATAGTGTTTTAATCCATTTAATAGATTCAATATCATGGCCGTCCCAACTTATTGAGAGTTGATCATGGGCTTGTCATGTATGTCATGTATGTCATGAAAGAAACCCTGGAATATGCAGATTTATCTTTTACATAATGCAGCTTTAAGTATACAATGTAAACAGTTTGTCTATGTACATCATCTTATCTATAGTACCTGTAAACATCTATAGTACATATGTCTACCTATTTACAATACATGAATTTATGGTTTAGTATTCTCATATAATTGTAATTGTTGATATTCAACAGGATCTGTGTTTACTAAATCATCATAATGACCTTCAGCTGGTATTTGTTGATTTTGGGTGGCTACTGTAATAAAACAGAATTTCATTTCATTCATAATTTAAGAAGAACGTAATTATTCTTTTAATTGAATACTGAGTAACTTTAAATACGACATTACCACAATAGATAGGGAAGTACAATCACTATTAATTTCCTTCATAAATATGAAGGTAGTAATTATTCTAAACATACATTATGCAAGAGCTAAATCTGCCTATTGCAGGTCTTTCTTTAGGCCTGAAATGTTATTTAAATTATTACTTAGACATTAAATAATTTATCCAGACCATAATCAACTCTCGATGGCAACGCTAGCCTACGATGTTTATTTGATTAGGTTCCGATTTGCTGTTCGACTTCATTCATAATTGAATCATGAAGTGGATAATCGAGACTATGGTTTTTATCGTACCGACTTTATTAATGGCGATCGAGGCTAGGCCGACAATTTAATCGCTAAAATCTTGGTTCAGAGTGGATCAGTTTGACTGAAATTTTCAGCAAATTCCCTTTACATTATCTAGTATTGGTGACAATATTGGTGTCAGTCATTATCACATATGTGATAGAACTAATTAAACACGTTCCAAATATAATTTTAACACAGAGATCATTGCTACGATAGCTGTGTAATACAGGTTTCCTGAATCGGAAATATCGAACGCCGAAGGAAAACATGGTAATGCACGGACTTTTTCTGTTTTTCTTTCGTGTTCTCTTATCTAATGACAGTCAGTTCTTTTTATGAATTGTCAGATATCCTCTCACAGTCCCATATAACAACTTTTGGTCTTGGAAGGAATTATTAGTGAGCAGAAATTCGGCCGTGTATCTGTTATCACTCGTCACATCAGTCAGTTATATAGAGGTAAGACTCGTGTTTTCCTTTGGCATTCGTCACTTCCGATTCAGGAAACCTGTATTACTCAGCTATCGTAGCAATGATCTCTGTGTTAAAATCATATTTGGAATGTGTTTAACCAGCTCTATCACATATGTGATAATGACTGGCACCAATATTGTCCTTTAAGAAGGGCAGTACGACCTGCATTAAGTTTATTCATAAATAAGTTTATTTAAAGGAACACTGCGCAACATGAAGAAAGACTACTTGGTTATGAGTGTGCTTGACCTATGCCGCTTTAAATAGTTGGGTTAAATCAAAACGTGTTGAATTGAAGAGAACAGTATCTAATCACAAAATGCATCTATAAATTCACAACAAGCGTGACAGACGTCCAAATTCATTCATTGTCCGGTAATAAACAAAGGGGGGTAACTCTAATTTACAGAATACAGGGGACCGTTAAACAAATATAGTGGGCGTTATGGTTTACTGCATACAACTCTGTCACAATGAGAAAGTATTTAAATTTTTGATTTTGTTTTCTGTTCGGAAATAGAATAGTTCTATAATGACATCCTTGTTTTGTTCCCATCTCAACTATTCCTCATCTCCACCTACCTTACAAAAATGCGCGGGAAAGGGAAATCTTGTGCACATAAGTCACTTTAAGCAATATTTAATGTTAGGGAATAAGTTTGGAAACGTTCCATGAGTATTGTTTCAAATAAATGTCCCAAGAAAATGTATTGAGAGAACTGCAACCAGACCCACCAATGTACGCCATAAAAAAGAATATACAATAAAAATGTACCTGGTTTATTTTTGTGCATTTTGATAAATAATACGATGAATGTAAATATTAACAGAAGGAAAAGGACGAACACAACTCCTATTAATGCTATTACTGTGGTATTTGATGGTGGAGGTATTTGAGGACATGGAGGACAGGTTGCCGAATCTGTGATCATATCAGCGACATCATTATCTGTAGTTGTAGGCATCGTTGTCACTCCTGGTGTATAGCCATTCCCTTCAAGAAATAATAAATTCTAAAAATAGTTTCATATTCCAGAGGAACTCCACGATTATAAGCGTGCACGGAGGACATTAATAGGAACCAAATTAAAATCGTGCCATCTAATGAATACCCCGTTTTAATCATGTTTTGTTGCACTTCTATATTTACGGCACAGGACTAGTAACTGCTTCCCCCCCCCCCCCATTGTTCTGTATCTAATCAATAGTTTGGGCTATTGAAAGTACAATATTTCACAGATTGTTCAAAAAGCTGCATTTGGTACCAATAACAAACCTCCTAATCCTGATCATTGATTTCTTTACAAATCATCATACAAACCCAAGATCTGATTTACAGTTGATGCCCCCCGCCCCCTTCCCCCGGACATGGGTGTAAATATTGCCGAGCTCCAAGTCTCTGAAAACCAATTTGAATTAAAAGATATGTAAATCTGTCCCTGTATAGATTCCTATGATGGGTTGTAGATGTAGAAAAGCTGCAGACTGGTATACAATCGAGAAGGTGCATCTGACAAAGTAATAATAACTGTAATAATTGCCTATTACACACAGTGTCCGAGAAACTGGACCCAGGCTAATGAAGAAAGGCATATAGTTTGCTATGAGGGGAATTTTGCCCGGACAGCGTCGCTGCAACCTACTTTGCAAAGGTTGTTGTATTTTCACGCCATTGTGTATAAGTGGTACACAAACAACTAGGTACTGTCCTTGTCCGGCCTTGCGCCGTCCTGCACCGCTGACAAGGGCAAGCCTTACCGGAAAAAATTTCAAGGAACTCTCCCGGGCGACATCGGAAGGGAACCCGAGCCAGTGTCTTTCTGGGTCACGGTGGCTAAGTGGGTAAGACGCTGGCTCGCTAGCCTGTAGGTCAGGTGTTCGATCCCTGCATTGGCCGAGAAAGTTCATCCGGTTATAGTTCCACGTTGTCAGTGATGCAGGTACAGTGAGGGCCGAACAAGGACAGCTGTCTAGTCGTTCGGATGGGACAAAAAAACCGAGGTCCCGTGTGCATATTGGCGTGCATGTAAAATATCCCTTGACAATTGGAATTCGATATAAGAGTAGGCCGTAGTGCCGCTGTCCGGGCAAAATTTCCCTCATAGCGCACTGTATAGGGTATGCCCGTCTTCATTAGCCCAGTTCGGAGCAGAACAGTAGGACGTTAAACCCCATTTCATTTCATTTCTTTCTCACTGTGCCACCGTAGCTCCCAGAAAATCAGCCATAAAGTCATAATTAAAGATACAATGTTTACCATTGAACATTTGGTAAAAACGAACAGTGTTGGTGTATGTTGATTAAAGCACACCTTTAACATTATATATTATTACTATAGAGACAACTGTGCTATCTTTACCATTATCTATCATTAATGTAGAGACAACTGTGTTAGATTCATCTCTAAAATGGGACGGTTACCATTCTCCATACCGGAAGGATCGGACGTCGCATGGTGGCGGATTATTATTATATGTTAATAAAACCATTTATTGCAAACGGCGAGATGATCTTGAGGTTACAGGTATAGAGAGTATTTGGGTGGAATGCAAATTTCCAAACACCGTATTACTTGTTGCCTTATTTTACCGCCCGCCAAACAGCACAATTGAATTCTGGTCATTGTTCGAAAGATCCATTGAACTAGCCTATCAAACCACGCTTAAGGTTGTAATTTTAGGTGATCTAAATGATGACTTGCTAGCACAACGCTGCAAGCTACGGGATATTTTATCTTTAAATAATCTCAGACATGTTATTGATGAACCTACACGCGTTACTGGGACGTCATCAACCTTATTAGACGTAATTTTAGTAAATGATGAAATTCAGATTAGTTCCAGTGAAACGATTAATGTCACTCCTGACATATCCGATCATAAGGGTGTTTATGCATTATTAGATTTTCCAGTTTCAAGTCCCAGGAATTTTAAACGGGAGATATTTGTATATAAGGATGGTAATTATAATAGGTTAAATACTCTTATCAAAGAACACGATTGGGAGAGTACCTTTGCAAATTCTGATATTAACTTAGTATGTTCAAAATTTTATGAAATTTTAAATAGCTATATTACATTGTGCATACCAAAGAAATCAATAACTATAAGACTAACTGACAAACCGTGGTTCAATACAGAAATACATAGAGCGATAAGAATCAGAAACAGGTTACACAAAAAAGCTTTGAAAACACAACATGAATGCGATTTAAGAAAATACAAAGTTCAAAGAAATAAAGTAAATAATTTTAAAAAAGCGTTAAAAACAAAATACAAAGAAGAAATCACAAATTTCTTGAATTCTAACGATACAAATAGCCAGAATTACTGGAATAATTTAAGGAAAGTATTAGGCCAAAATGTATCAAATGATATTCCTCCACTTTTAGACCCCAATGGAAGAATTGCTCATTCAAATTTTGATAAAGCTGAATTACTTAACAACTATTTCGGATCAATTTCAAATAACACTCAGCAAGGAGAATTACCAAAATTCAATAAGCGAACAAATTGTCAACTTGATATTCCTTTAGTCGAAGAAAAGGAAATCGCAGATATTATAAGTACACTGAAATTGAAAAAAGCCAATGGATTTGATAATATTAGTAACAAGTTACTAAAATATACCAAAACCTCAATATGTGTACCATTAAAATATATATTTAACAAATCACTAGAATCAGGCGTTTTTCCAACAATTTGGAAAAAAGCAAATGTCCTACCTTTCTATAAAAAAGGAGACAGCTCTCTAGTTTCAAACTACCGACCTATAAGCCTATTAAGTTCTTTGAGCAAATTATTAGAAAAGGTAGTTTTCAAACACCTGTTTAACTATTTTCATGAAAACAATCTCTTGTACAAATACCAATCAGGGTTTCGACCGAACTACTCTACTGTTCATCAACTTTTAGAAGTGTATCATGATATCTCATCTGCAATAGATAAGCAACTATATTCCTGCTATGTTTTTTGTGATATATCTAAAGCGTTTGACCGCGTATATTTACCTGGTTTGATACACAAATTAAGTCAATATGGGGTTTCAGGCATGCTAATTACGTGGTTGTCTAGTTATGTCCAAGACCGGACTCAACGGGTATTCGTAAATGGCTCTGTGTCATCAGAAATTACTCTTCAATCAGGAGTTCCCCAGGGATCAGTTTTGGGCCCCTTTTTGTTTTTGACTTACATAAATGATGTACAAGATGTACTCCATAATGTGGCTAGATTATTTGCAGACGACACGGCACTTGGGTGTAGCAAACAGTCAGTTTCGGAGATAGAACAGTCCCTAAACTACGATCTGACAAATCTCAACATTTGGGCGAATAATTGGCTTATAAACTTTAATCCAAACAAAACAAAAGCTATTTTATTTAGCTCCAAAAAAACAGAAAATTATCCGAGTCTGATATTCGATAATCAAGCACTTGAAGTGGTTAAATGTCACAAACACTTGGGCATTACCCTTTCAAATGACGCCAAATGGACCATCCATATAGAAACTATTATCTCGTCCACCTCAAAATTATTAAATATTTTGCGTAAACTAAAATTCACCTTTAATAGACAAACTCTAAATAACGTATATTTGATATTCATAAGGCCAAAATTGGAATACGCATGTGAAGTGTGGGATGGGTGTAACGTTTCCAATACCGAAAAACTTGAAAAGGTACAGCTAGAAGCTGCCAGGATTGTGACTGGACTAACTAAAACTTGTTCTCGTGAAGCGCTTTATTTTGAAAGCGGATGGAATAAATTGTCAGACAGACGTACACAAAAGCGACTAACCACATTTTTTCAAATTAAAAATCAGAGAAACCCAGCATACTTATATGACATTCTAGAATATTATCAACAAACACCACAAAAATACAATTTAAGAAACATTAGCGAATATAGATATCCTTATTGTAGAACAGCATTACACCAAACTTCGTACTTCCCCACAACAATTCGAGATTGGGAATTATTAGAGGACCCCATAAAGCAATCAACCACTCTTAAATCCTTCAAATATCTATACAAACAAAAATTACGTTCCTTAATACAGAAAGCGCCAATCTACTACTGTAAAGGTAATAGACATGAAAATATTATTCACACTAGAATACGGCATGGGTGTAGTTCGTTGCAAAATGATTTGTATGAAATAAACGTTGTGAATGATCCCACATGTTCTTGTGGCAAATTTATAGAAAATGCCGAACACTATTTCCTGCAATGTCACTTATATGATGTAATTCGTGCTGAACTATTAAATACATTGTCAAGTTATTCTGTGATAAATATAGATATCCTATTGTGCGGCAATTCAGAATTGTCAATTGAGATGAATACAAACCTTTTCCTTGAAGTTCACAAATATATCAAACTTTCAAAACGATTTAAATTTAAATAAAAGTTATTGTTAGTAGTTACATCTTAGAATAAATTATTAGCTTTAGCTTTTTTGGTGGATAACTTTTTTTTTTTCCCGCACCCCCCACCCCCCATTTTTTTTATTTTTTTTTTTATTATTTCTTTTTATCATTTTATACATGCATCAGTTCATTTATATCCCATTTATTAAACTTTATTTTTCAATGTTTTAAATATAATTTTACATTCTCTTTATCACCTCTTCACTTATTTTATATAGAGCTTTGAGATATAATTCATCTGACTTTACTTATATTACTTATAAATTATTTATTATTGTATATACTATTTCGAAATCTTGTTAGTATTAAATAATGTCTATTATTTCTATGTATGGAAAGGGCTTTTCTAAGTTTTTGAAACTTGTGCTCAATCCTTTTGATATTTGTCAATAAAATATGTTTAAACTACAACTGTGCTCTCCTTACCATTATATATCAATAGTATAGAGACAACTGTGCTACCTTTTACCATTATATATCATTAGTATAGAGACAACTGTGGTACCTTTTACCATTATATATCATTAGTATAGAGACAACTGTGGTACCTTTTACCATTATATATCATTAGTATAGAGACAACTGTGCTACCTTTTACCATTATATATCAATAGTATAGAGACAACTGTGCTACCTTTTACCATTATATATCAATAGTATAGAGACAACTGTGCTACCTTTTACCATTATATATCATTAGTATAGAGACAACTGTGCTATCTTTAGAATTGACATTGCTACTGAGATGTACCACAGTACCCTCGATTAAATGGTATACATACCTTTACCAGTTATTGTTACGGAGAGAATGTTTGAAAAGGCTGCTATGGAGATATGTCCACACTGCCATTGAGTTGTACCAGTACGTTCAGCAGATAGAATAATTAACTGATGGTCATATGTACGGTTGTTATATCTGGTTATGGTACAGTTGAAACTATTCATGTTGTTTACAATACAAGGTGCAAAAGGATAAAGACGTGTTGGTCTAGCTATGTTTGTATTATTTTTATAGAAATCAACTAGATTGTATAAAGTTCTACATGTGACACTGTATGAATCTCCTATACTAACTTCTCTTACATTGCTAGTTATATTCATAATATTCCCTGAAACATTAAAAAAAAAACAACATACATATTAAACTACTCTTGCATTGCTTGTTATATTCATAATATTCTCTGAAACATTGAAAACATAAACATATATATTAAACTACTCTTATTATATTTATTTTATTCCCTGGAAGATTAAAAACATAAACATAGTATTGTCTATATTGGTATACGTGGCTGCGTATTGCGGTGAATTATTGGAATAGAAATCAGTGTTCAGATACACACACCAGAGGGCGAATTCGACTAAATGTAATAACGAACGCAAGGTGACGGACCACTTGAATAAAATCCCATAATAGAAAGTGGTGCTATGTGTTCATGAAAGGGACAATGTTTTAATCCATAGTGCTGCCATGTTTTGTTAAGCATTTTAATTAGATGATAATTTAATCAACGTTAAGCTAATTAAAACATTTAGTATGGAAAGAGCAAGGATAAGAAAATAGGGTACTTTAGAAACAAATCTTGAAATATTACCTGCTTTAGTATAATGCCAAATCCACAAGAAGTAAAATAACACCAATTCCTTGCACAACAGCATGTTTACTGCAGTCAGTGTTAGCTAATAGTACAATAAAAAGAGTAACAATAACATGGCGTCCTAATAATATCAACTAACTTGATGGTCGCAAGCGCGGATACATTCCAGGAAGTGCGATGAGCAATTCTGGTAAAATATTTTAAAATTTAAAAAACTTTGAAACTCTAAAATATAGGAATTTTAAATTATGAAATATATGTGTTGCTGAAAAATGTAACCCTTGTTTATTTGCATATTTTATAATAGTTCTGATTTTGGATTGAATAAACCCTAAGAAATCAGTCAGTTGTATTTGACTTTAAAGCGTCATGAATCGTTCAAATAAAATTCCAGTTGAGAACTATATCAATAAATTGTAACATAGATAAAATAATAAAAATATAAAATATGTCCATCATATGACACATTTAGTCTTGAAAATGGCGCATTATATATATACATTTCAAAAAAATAAACGCATGGTGATATTTCGTCGTCGGTATACCTTTGCTTTACAATCGCCTCGCTGCAACAGGTGCCGCGACTAATTGCTGAACCAAACTGTTCTCCAGTGTTGCTGTGGCCACTGGGCCCATTGAAGTTGGATTTGACGGTGTCGGCCTATTTCAAAATAACAGCTTTGGCTCGTAATATGGTTTCACGTAGACGTCTATGGACTATCTGGTCTGAGATCCTACGCCTTCCAGGAATTGCTGCTGCAATAGATGTCGCTGTTGCGAACCGGTTCGCAAATAACGTAACCGGATGTGACGACCCAGGACAAGTGGGGTCATTCTTGTTTGCCTGAGCTTGGGCGGTACCTATCCCAAAGGCGAGAAATGGTACTCTGGGAAACATTCAGCAGTCTGGCTACATCTGCCTGGTTTTCACCTGCTTGTAACCAACAGATAGCCTTGTTGCGTTGGTCTTCGTTCAGATGGCTCGTTGAGTGTTTACATGTGCAACTGATTTTAAAACCGAGAACCCCGGGTTTTTAAAGGCCTTAGATTTGGGTCTGATGCGAAAAACTTGCGAAGTTGTTAAACTCGTGAATCTTGGTGCAATGAAGCGAAAACAAATTTCGGCAAAAAGTATGACCTATCAGAATTAGTGACCCTTCATTTAAAACCAATAAAGAATTTCTTTTATACTTACATAGTGGCATCAAAAACAACGATCCCGTTCAAATAAAAAATGATGAAAAATGGGCTGTGCATTTCCTTTTTTGAAGAGTATATATAATCGTAATATATTATAGAGATATGAAATTTAAAATTTTCCCTAAATTCAAATCATTTTTATATGATCTTCTTTCAGGTTGGAATTGTAGAACCGTTATATATCCAACTTAAAGACACCCTACCAAATATGTGTGTTTTGTTTTTAAAATATGGCGCTAAAGCTTGGTTCTCGAATATAAAATAGTTTTGGACTAACAATCAGAATATCAAAATATCCAAATCCAGATTCTCACACATTTGGGCTCGCTCTGTTCATTGCACATCATGGCGTCATTTAATGTTGGATATACCAGATAGCCTATTATTCTTTACATGCAAAATACCAAAAATAAATAGGTACTAGATAATGTGGCATGTCCATATTAAATCATCAAAGCATGAGAGAATCGGTACGGGAAGAAGTTATTAATCAGCGTAAGAATAATTATCATTAATTGATTTAATTCATTTCTTAATACATTAAATGCAGATATTTAAATTTAGCGTTTTTGCGTATACATCACCATCCAATATGAACTGAATAGGAAACTCGTCGACATCGATCTCCATTTTCTACCAATTTCCACCTAGAACTATTTGTGTTTTAAGTAGCATGCTCTAGGATTTAGATCATGGGGCTTGTCATTGAATCAAGTGACCAGGTTTTGATCCAACAAAGGTACGTCACAAACGTTCAACTGTGGGTTTACTCCACTGCCTTTGGTTTTCTCCCAATGCAACAGACCTGTACTCGCAAGCGAATTATTGAATCATACGTTACTCCCGGAAGTACCTAGTTGCACACAGTAGATGTTAAACCCGATCTCTCTCTCTCCCCCTCTCTCTCTCTCTCTCGGTGAGCTCTAATAGATCCAATTATATGTATACCTATTTTATTTTATTATTCCTTGAACATAATTTCCTCCAAATATTTCTGTCGTTATTGTTAACGTTGTGTTTGACACAGTAAATGAAAAAGCGAATCTGAAAGCTAAGTCAGGGTGAAGTTTCTAAAAGCGAATATAAGAATGAAGTGAAGACTGTGTATGTAACAACACATATAAATACAACAGGGAGAAGTGACGGCTGAGGTGTTGTTTGAAACTTTATACAAGACAAAGGAGAAAGGTGAAGTTTATTTGGTGGATCTGGTCATGATGTCGACTTTATAACTAAATATCCTAATACAGAAACTTCTCATTGTCGTTTACGCAAAGATTCATTAATGGAAGTTTATAGTTTATTTAAGAGCAACTATGGTAAAACTACCCTGAACATCTACCACATATCTATATAGAGTACAAGACATGCAAATTGCTATGTCTCAACTACTATCTAGCCCGGCAATTGTTGATCGACGGACGGAGACGATGACATACCCCAAAACTATATACTACGTGTTAATTGGCATAAAAATAAGATAAAAATTTCCCGAGATCTCGAGAAAATTTACACATGATGTCAAGATCTAACGAACATGAACTCGAATTCTCAAGATCGTTAACCGATCTTCTACAAAATGTTTCATGACCCCTATACACTTTCGTGCATTCTTTCTTTTGTTGGATTGAGGGCATTTTATTTTCTAAGCAAGCTGCTAAATTGTTATTATTAAAATTATTAAAATAATAACATGCTGTTAAATTAAGGATTAATAATAGAAAATTCATTAATCAAATAAACACCATTCCGGCATCGCTATAGCACAGACGAATTTCTCATAAGAATAAAGGATCATGCTCTAGATTTTCATATTGAATTCATATCGATGTTTAATATAATATAGAATAAATAACATGATGTTTGTATTAATCAGAACGTTACTTTATCGATATTCACCTCGGTATCATTGCACTACAATATAAATGTATAGCGGATTTAATACTTGCTGTGACTACAATTTACCCAACCAATGTATCAAAGTACGGAAACTATGATTTTATACTGTGTATATATACTTTGTATACACTTAGTGCCTGTTACAAGTATATGCTAAAAGTTCTATCAATAAGATTAGCCCAGTAAGTTCCAAATATTTTATTCAATACTCATACCAGGAAATACATTCGTGAAAAACAACGAACGGCTATAAGAGGATTTTAAAAAAAAGGATTGTCTCCGAAAATATGGATGGTTTTAGTCAATGCACTATTAAAGCACTTACCCCAAAAGTATTCCATCTGTCTATTGATGTTTTACTGTTATTATGAATCCTGGCCACGTGATTTTCTTCGAATGTTTAACAGCTTCAAAATATCTTCCGGGATTTAGATAATGGACGTTCACTTCAAAATAATTTTTGTTGAACTTCAACACAGGGAGTTGTGTGAAAATAATATACATAATACGTGTGTCCTTTTCTTATACAGTAACACAAACGTGTGTTTTTTTCTTATATCATAACACAAAATTATAATTATAAAATTTTGTGTTGTCCTTTATATTTAACACAAATGATGTGTATATTCAACACATATTTTGTGTTTTTAAACATGAGCCACAGTCGACAAAGATAATTTGATATATTATATGGTATAAGGGGCCTGGAGACTTGTGATAACGCCCAAAAATGTGCAAATTATTAATGATGTAATAAAAATGTTGTGACGTGACCTCAAAATACAAATCATCTTTGTCGTGATTAAACACGTGATCGGCGAACGATACATTTATCCACTGTTATGTGTTGTCCACTGTTCACATTATATACTGAGCGCCATGGAAAACGCATCACTTTTTTTTCCCAAATATTTTATTACTAGGTGGTTTTGTATGTATAATATTATGCAATACTATGAACTATTATTGTTTCACACAATGCTCCCAAACGCAAAAAATATCAGCCCGTGCGCGCAAAACAAAATTGCACGAGATGCACATGAAAACCCCAATATTCACGTGCAGCATTGTGTGCGAGCCCTTTAAAAGCATGTTTTCAACTTAATTTGCAGTACATGAACTGTGAAACGTCAATCTGTCGTAATCTGTTGTTGGACGTGTGAAGGAATCGAGCTAGAGATGCCGAGACTTACTGAAAATCAACGGAATGAAGCCATGGGAATGTCTACACGTGCTATTGCCAGACACTTCAATTGTCATCAGTCCACTATTGTAAGGTTGGTGGAACGTGTTCGAGTTACTGGATCAACACGTGACCGTCAACGTCCTGGTCCACAACGCGTTACAACCCAGGCTCAAGACCGCTACATCCGGGTCACTCATCTGCGTGACAGATTCCGCCCTGCGACTCGAACATATGCAGCAGTCGTCGGAAGACAAGGACCAGTAAGTGCCAACACCGTAAGACGTCGTCTAAGAGAAGTAGGACTCCGTGCATGACGACCTTATGTTGGAGCTATCCTCACGGATCATCACCGTCAGCGGCGTTTGATATGGGCTCAAGGACACCAGACATGGAGAAGAGTAGACTGGCAAAGTGTGCTCTTCAGTGATGAGAGTCGCTTTCATCTTTATCACGCTGATGGCCGTCAACGTGTGTGGAGTCGTCCTGGGGAACGTCTTGCAGACTGCTGCGTCATCGAAACGAATCGATGGGGTGGGGGAAGTGTAATGGTGTGGGGAGGCTTCCAGTTCATCACCGGACCGCCCTACACATTTGCAGGCCTCGCGTTAAAGCTGTAGCCTACCGTGATGATGTCTTGCAACCAATTGTTGTTCCGATGTTTCGAGCGCACCCACAACTTCAGCACTTCCAACAGGATAATGCACGTCCGCATACCGCCCGTTTTAGTATGAACTACCTGGCTGCTAACAACATCAATGTCTTGGACTGGCCAGCTATGTCTCTGGACATGGCACCGATAGAACATGTCTTGTCCAAGAATGGAACAATTTGCCCCAGGCCTTCTTTCAAACATTGGTAAATTCCATGCGACGTCGCTGCACAGCGTGCGTATAAGCCCGTGGAGGACACACGCGCTACTGACATCTGTGTCGTACTTTTGGTTTTGACCCCTCTGACTTTGTACCGTTGATTACAGATTAAACATCCATAAGTGTACAAATGTGTTGTTATTGATGTGTTCCCATTTGAATATTGTTCACAATAAGAAGCAAAATAAATAAGATATGTTTACAGGATCATTTTGTTATAAGTGATGCGTTTTCCATGGCGCTCATTTGTTTATTTTTTTCTCTCATATCTAAAATCTTACAGTACCCGTGAAATAGAGATATGATAAAGAGATATAATTATTAGTCTATTATATTCTGATTATGAACTATTTATTTAATCAGTTTGAAAACATTATTTTGACAATATCCTGTGTGTATTTTCACATTTTGTCTACGACAATAGCTAGATAAACATACTTCACTAATTACAGTTTCTGACAAGGGGATTTTTATTGACCCCGATAAAACTTTACATCAATGGTGTTATAGGCCTACTTAAATTCCAAGACATTGTCAGGTTAGAATGGAATTGGAGTGGGGAAAAGTTATGTTAATCTTTTATTTTATTTAATGAAATTGGTTTATTAAATGGCAATTAACATTCATTGGTTAGTTGGAAATTACCAATCAAAATTAAAGTAAGAAAGCAAAATTCATTTCAGAAATGACACAACTGTTGTTGCTTTTTTTACTATCTGTGATTCTGTATATGGACTTACAATTACATAGTCCAGACACAGAGAGATAATGATTTATTTTTTAAATGCCATGTATTTATAACCCCTTTCATCTTCTAGCATATAGTAACTTGCCCTGGTTCATAACTCGACTAGACACGATACCAGATGCCAAGTTCAAGTCAAATCGACACCCATCTTGCGTCAAATTCAAGTTATAGAAAGGGTATTTAGTCAACCATTTATATTTTTCAGATTGGAACATCGACGAAGGAGCATTTAGTAAATCATGGTTCGATGAAAGAAGCTGACCTTACATTCTCAATATAAAGTCTTCAAATTCTTTCATAAATCTGAAAATGAGATTGTTTGTGGAAATTCAAAACTTATCTGATGAATTTTCGTTTTTAATGCCAAACCCACTAAACAATGCGCATAAGTTTTTGTAAATTCATTACAGTCTGGTTTGAAGACCATGGTGTAATGTATGGTTAAATCAATATTTATTATTTTGACAATTGGGAATGATCTCTAAAATACTAATTTTTATCAGCCTATATTTATTTTGCTTTCATCTGAACCATTAATGCTCAAGTTTTATAATGGTATTTAAAAAGAAAATTCATAATCTTCTGCAATGAATATTTTGTTCTTAAAAGGCGGCTATTATTGTTTTCTTAGGAACTGTTCTTTATATATATATATATATATATATATATATATATATATATATATATATATATCATAATATCTTTTTCACTATGGTGTTGAATTTGTTTACATATCCTATGGAAAATAGTACCGTAGGGATGTCAGGGTGTGTTACTAATTCATTGATGGGGAATAAAACCATGGCTATTTAGCCTTTAGAGCATAATTGAAAAAAAAACCAATATGTTCCTATTCCATAATTTCTACTTAATTACTTTTTAATGTCACTGCATGCAATAATAAAACCTTTCATATTTTAATTTATTATTGACATGTTTATTTATTTCTATAATTTAATGAATAAAAAATAGAAACTCATAGAAAATCATATTACATGTATATTAATTATAAAGCATTAAAGTTGAACCATAACTAAATGAGGGTAAAGCGTGGGGACATGGGATATTTTGGTATACTAGGTATATAATGGGGAAAGACAACACAAGTTTGTAAGTAAAAACAACACATGTTTGTGTAGGAAAACACATGTTTGTGTAGGAAAACACAAGTTCTACCACGAAACAACACATATTCTACCATAAAACAACAAACGTTTCTTAAAATTTTACACGGGCTATGTGATGATTTTCACGCAGTTTCATCACAGTTTAAACACAAACTTGTGTTATTTGGTAAAACTTTTCATAAGCTTTTTTTGATGAAAATAACACCTAACTTGTGTTATTTTAACACAAGGAATTTTAGAGTGTATTCACTATAGTATATCTGATATATTAGACAGTTCCTTTAATGAAATGAATACATTTAAGTTGATAATATCTTGTATAAGCCTGTTGTTTGTGATAAACACGAAACTAGGAAGATATTCTAGTGATGTATAACGAGATGTATTGTATACTATTCAAAAAAAGTAGGGGATATTTGATTTTGGGGGCATAATACTAAAATATGCAAATGACTACGAAAAAAGTCACTATAGAACCTAACAGAAGAAACATTTCCAGTTACATGTGACGCCCAAACGCACCAATAGCTACCGCATGGAATGCAGGTGATGCTTGGGATCATCATGGGGGTCCAACCCAAGATTTGCACGACTCTGACTTTGAATGTTACAGTCATTGTGGCATTGAATTCCAGGGTGGAAACATCAGTTTAATTGTTTTAGTGACCAGAAAACAAATTTTGATATGCGTCGGCTTACCCAAAATGAAAGGTTACGTGCCCTTGGCATGCTACAGATCGGCACAACACAGGCGGTTGTGGCGCGGACGATGAATGTTTCTCAGTCTGTCATAAGCAGGCTATGGTCCAGATACCGTGATACACAATCTGTACAGGACAGACCACGCTCAGGTCGACCAAGGGCGACAACTCAAGCCCAGGATCGATTTATCCGTACCTTGGCCTTGAGAAATCGTGTCATCACAGCAAATCAGATCAGCGCTCGTCTTCAAACAGACACTGGTGTGAGAGTGAGTGGCCAGACGATTCGGAATCGACTGCATAGGGGTCACCTTCGCGCCCGACGTCCTCGCGTGATCCCTTGTTTGAGAGATCATCACATTCAGGCAAGACGTCGTTGGTGTAGGGATCGTCAACACTGGGATAATCGACGCTGGAGCAATGTGATGTTTTCAGATGAGTCAAGGTTCACTGTTGATTTTTTGGACAGACGTAGGAGGGTGTGGCGTCGTCGGAACGAGCGCTTCCAAGACGTTAACGTCATCAGACATGATCGATTTGGGGGTGGTTCTGTTATGGTGTGGGGAGGCATCACTGTTGCTGGAAGAACGGCTTTACATGTTGTTGCAGGGCGTGTTACAGGCCAGTACTACCGGGACAACATCTTGGCAGTCCATGTTGTGCCGTTCGCACGACGTCATGGCCGCCGTTTCATCTTCCAGGATGACAACGCAAGATGTCACAGGGCCAGGATCGTTACAGGTTACCTCCAACAACAGAACATCACCACATTACCTTGGCCAGCACTGAGTCCCGACCTCTCCCCCATCGAGCATGTCTGGGACATGCTTGGACAGAGGTTACGTCAACGTCAACAACGTCCTGCCAATGTCCAAGAACTTGCTGCTGCGTTGCAACAGGAATGGGACAATCTGGACCAAAATGACCTTAGACGTCTCATTAGGAGTATGCCACGTCGGATCAATGCTTGTTTGGCAAACAGAGGAGGATTTACCCGTTACTGACTTGGTTGTGATGCTGTGGTAACTTTGCTGTTTGACCCCGGGTATCATTTTACCCTTATAATGGTCAGTCTGTGCCTTACTTAGTCTAACGATCATTTGGAATAAATCGATGAATGTGAACTTCATTTCATTTTGTCATTTGTTTCTTCGTCAGTTTCATTAGGTGACTTTAATAACACTTAAAAATCAAATATCCCCTACTTTTTTTGAATAGTATAATTACAATATCTACATCCTCTATACAGTCATCGTCACTTTCCTTTTCGCTTGTTCCGTTAAGTTATAGCATCTCTATACTACTTAAAGATGCATTCCCACGAAAGTATTTATACGGTATATAGTTATTTCCAATACAAGCACGAGGGGGGGGGGGGGCTGAATGGTTAGCACGTGCGCGCTGTACCATAAAGTCTGTCATTGAGTCAACTGGCGTGGTTTCGAATCATCGGTTGTACGTGGCAAGGAGTAGGGTCGCCTGTCCATCCTCGTGGGTTTTCTCCGGGTCCTCCGGTTTCCTCCCACTGCTAAAGACCCCTACGCGACAGCGAATTATTGAAATAAAATTAAATCATATGTTAGTCCCGAAGTGACCTAGTTTTTGTAGAGTGGACGTTAAACCCCATGTCTCTCTCTCTCTCTCCAATACAAGCATGGTAAATTTGGTATATATAGAAAGTAGAGACACCCAATCTCACTAGAAGAAAAACTGGATTCCCAGAAGAAAAACCAAACTATGCCGAGCGCACGGGACAAAACTATGAGTGTATCACTAACTGGCAACGTGGGACTGCTTGAGTGGCGTATAGAGAGCTACTTATGTGTTGATCGAATGGGTAGAGGTTGTGAGAACGCACAGCAGACTCTGCTATTAAACGGCGGACAAAGAAATTTGCAGAGGATAATCCAGCAATTTACTTAGGCTTCAACATTTATGGTAAATAAACAGCGATTAACGATAAATGCAAGCTAATTGAACCCTTCCTCAATCAAGTCTCGTGAAAAACAAGGATATTTAAAATAGATTGGGTTGGCTTAGTTTCTTTCGATTAAAATGTGTTTGAAGGGATTTTTTAGAAAACGTTTGATAGATTAATTAGTTTGAATATGTTTTAATAGTCCATAATCAAATCACACAGTTTGTACGTGGGAAGGCATTTTAAAATATCGTTGTTACGATCAAACTGGGCTGTCTGGCCCTCCGCACCATATTTTTTTCAGTGAATAGGGCTTTCAGGGAAAAGAAATATTACACGTTAGCATAATGATATAAAACATACTTCGCTGTTTAATGGGGAACCAATGTAATAGCAGTGGAGTCACGTGGGTGTCTTAAATGATAAACCAGCTACAAGGCACCTATTTCTTGTGATTAACAAAGTAGCTAGTAAAGAAAAAAAATCACTAAATTTATGCGATGATCTAATTGTGTTGGGTAGACTCTTGGTTTTCCTTCCTCGTCTTCTCTATTATTTCATGTCACAATGACTTTTTCACGACACGACATTTGAAACAATAGAGCTTTAAGAGTCATGTATATATGTATTCAATAATGAAACGTGTGAATTTTGAACATTGACTTGTACAAATCGCAGCAGAATGAGTGTTAAAGCACACAAAGATTACTGCGTGAAATCAATGTATACCAATATATACTTTAAATAGTCTAAAGTTAGTATTCTGGTATTTGAAACTTTAATAATATTTCTATGAATAACTTTGTAGTTAAATCGAACCTTCATCCATGCCTCCGCTCTCTATACCCAACTACAATAATATAATCTACAAGTATCATTTACACATCATTGAATTACTTCATAAAAATCACGGTAATCACATATAGATATTTGGGAGATAATATTTATTGGGATGGGGTGTGGCGGGTATGTGTACAATATTCGTTTAAGCACTGAGTTTATACATGATCACTAAAATACATAGTTTGTTTTCCAGTTAAAGTACACCATATCGACTTACCAAAAAATCTCTAATGCTATAAACGACCGTTCATAGAGGTAATGTATATGATTATCTAATTTAAGAATTACAGTTAGGTCCTCCATTAAGAATATATTAATTAACGGTAATATTTTATTTTTGGGGATATCGCCGACATCTGTCACTCCAAATATGATAACGATCGTATTATTAATAATATAAAGTACATGGAGATTAATCGATTTTTATTTAGCATTAAAAAATTAAAGGAGACAATCAAGAAAACGGAAACGAAATATATTTGGAATACTAAAATTTGTAAAAATTAATTTAAAAAAAAGCTAGATAACTTTATATAAATATTATATAACGAAACCATTTGTTATATATCAGATATAACCTCAAAAGTATTTATAAAACACAAAATAACTACACAAAACCGCCAGCTATTGTCAAACGATAACAAAATTATAATATTAATATAAAAGAGGACTACGTTAAACACATTTTTGCACTGATTCGAAGAATAACTAAAGATTAAAAAAATGGTAATATTTCATTTTAGATTCTACATATAATTAACCTAAACAATCGCTTATATAAAATGAAATTGTCTAACCCATTACTGTGTGAGTTTTTGTAATTCTACAAATAAAAACAAATACACATCTTCATTCGATAATATGGCAGAAGCTGCGTGAAATATTAGTCTATAATATTACATAAATATCACCAGTATAATTAAACACTTGGGTAGAATTACACATGACAATTTAAAAAATGAAAAATGATTAAATATTGTTTATTTACTTATTTCATTAATGTATATTTTCCATGTAAGATTAAAATTAGCCCAGTTTAGGAGCAGAACAGTAGGACGTTAAACCCCATTTCATTTTATTTCATTTCTGTAAGATTAAAGACACTGGTCAAAATACTAGAATTGTATTTCATACATAGAAGCGAAAACTGAAATAATATACAACGCAGTAGACGGATACAACATCTTGAAAAATAAACCCGAAATTAGTTAATATATAGACTTAAAGGAACAATAACACTCTTGCTAGCTTGACAGCTCCAGAAAATAAATAATAGCCTTATTCTAAGTACTAGATGTGTTAGTGTCCTACCTGTTGTGTAAATTATTCATTAAATCCTATTTTACTTGTCCAGAGGGTTCGAAAATATTTTTAAATCCAAGTCACATTTGAAAAGGTTTACTTTAGGCTTTTCAAATCATTTAGTTGAATTTTTCCAATTTTTTAAATTAGGTGTGTTAAGATGAAATTTGTATCACCAATTAATTGGAATATTGTAAAATAGTACAATTTGTTGACCAGAATAAAGATTGGGACATATTATTCAGTTACAACAAGAGTGGAATTGAGCCTTTAATAATAATAATTTTATTATATGTTTCTATATATAATTTACATTGTTTCAAAATTTATTATTAATTCTCGGTACTAGTTTTAATTGTCAATAAATTAAATTATCCGCCTTAAAACAAAAGCTGTTGTAAACGACTGATTAGGAGATTAGAACAAAATATAACATATCATATCCCCTATCTGGATAAAAAAATATTTCCTACGTAGCATAAATGGGTACATAAAATAGTGCGCGAAGGCGTAAAGTGAGTGAAAAGCGCCAATTCTGCCCGGATCAGTTTGTGTTAATACGTTTAATGTAAACATAGCACGTGTTGTGATGTGATTTCACAAGTAGACCTTTCCTGCACTTGAACTTAAAGGTCAGTCATCGTTCACATAGTTAAAAGAGAGCTTTAGCAGTACCACTATGACACAGATAGATCTCTAGAATGTGTAGGGCCACTTCCTTTGGCAAATCTCTCTCTATTTTGTATTCTTTTGGGATATTAGGAGCGGTTTGTCTACTCCAAAATCTGATATCCGGTTCAAACCATTTTTTGCAGGACATGAAAGACGGCTTGTTTTAATAGCCATGCTATTAGTTCTAAAGCCCGTTTTCGTTAGTTACATGAAAACGGCCCCTTTACATTTGCATTAGACCGACTTTTTCGCCGATGAAAAGTACTTTATTCTGACCGAAGTTATCACTGTTTGAAGGTTTGACAAGATTGTTTATTATTGTAACAACAGTACTTGTTTTTCGAGACTTAGCCTTGAATCATCATTTTTAAATTAAATCATTAAATGGCGATCTTGTTTTAATCCGTTTATATCTCCACCATCCGATGGTCTCTAGAATTCATTATAGCTTGTCAAGTAAGCAAATGTCAAAATAATAATTTATATAACAACCGAAGCAAAAATAAAAATCGGCAATATGCAGATTTAGCTCTTATATTATGCATCTTAAAGGCAACATTTATTTGAACACTTGCAAACATCTACAGTACATATGTCTACCTATTTACAATACATGAATTTATGGTTTTGTATTCTCATATAATTGTATTTCTTCATATTCAACAGAATCTGTGTTTACTAAATCATCATAATGACCTTCAGCTGGTATTTGTTGGTTATCACTGGCGGCTGCAATACAGACGGATGTCATATCATACATTTAAGATTGTGGTATATTAAAGAAATATATATTTTGTGGAAAATTTGAAATATTATTTGCTGTGGATGTTTTTTTTTATTTACATCTTTGAGTGTAGAACAAACAGTGTCACGTATTTCTTCTGAACCAGACATATTGCCACTGCTAAAGACCCCTACGCGCAAGTGAATTATTGAAATATAATTAAACTGTATTTTAGTCCCGAAATGACCTAGTCTGTGTCGAGTGGACGTTAAACCCATCTCTCTCTCTCCCTCTCTCTTTCTCTCTCTCTCTCTCTCTCTCATATTGCACTTGGCACTCGTTATAAATTTGCTACATATCGTCTGTACTCTATAGTACATGTATGTCATGTATTTTTCAAAGCAATACTGCGTACCTTGATATACAGTCGGGCGTGAGCTTCCTGTTGGTGGATTTCTACTGGAAAAAGAAAAAGTTGAATTAGTTTGATTAGAAGGCTTGGCAATTATTTAGTCCAAATTCGCTGCATTATGTCTGTAAATCTGTCAATATTACTATAAACTTTTACTAAGATGGATTGACTATTTCTTGCACCAAGAATGAATAATTACCGAATCGATCACACGGCTAGGCATTTCATTTTATTGTGAAGCGTACTAGAGCATTAATTGTATTGCCGACACAACTGAGTTGTGTTGTTCAGTGGACATGAGATCCATTTCATTGCCGTGCTCTAGATCCTCGATAGTTCCGAGAAGCCTGAAAGCCCATAGTATTCTCTACATCAAACATTACTCCTCAAAAACTAAAAATCCCCATTTCGTTGCGAAGAAAGCTAGAAAATCACCGTCTTGCTCCTTTAAAGAGATTTTCACTATTAGGCTTAATTAAATTTTGTCATATTTGCTCATGAGGGCACGAGGCTTGTATGTTCATTATATATCTAACAAAGTTCTATTTGTACAAATATACTAAGTTTATACAAATCTACTGATTTTTGATAAAATATTGAAATGTGTAAACCAATTTACCTGTCTACCGTTCCTGAAATATAAAACGAAAAAAAAATACATTGATAATTTAAAGTGGCAAGTAGCTTTTATAACCACACAATGTTTTTTTTTTCTTAACGATTCGCAGTTCACACACACATACACACATATCTGTGACTATTTTTTTTTACTGTTTGTCTACAATTTGGCTTCGGTTTAAGATTTACACTATTTCGGTTTCATGGAACTCCTATAAGGAACCACCAACATAAATAATCAACTGGGATTTACTACCCCGCTTAAATGTCCAAATAGAATATGGTGATGTATTGCTTTCACAATACATGTATTTCAGAATTTTGAAGGTAACTTTGGAACCAGTTCCATGGTTTGAATTCCATCTAAAAATTTTAAATTTATACATCCCAAAAATTTGCAACATGCCCGATATGTAGGGTGTTCACAAAATTTGCAACATGCCCAATATGTAGGGTGTTCACGGACAATATATATTATGTAGCAGTATAAAAATTACACAAGTACACAATTACCCGTCATTGTTCTCTCCTGGTTACGTCTTCGGATCTGTCTGACTACCAGAACCACAATTAGTATGATTATATGTACTATCAAGGCAGCGGTTCCACCACAAGCAACACCAACTATAACTGTGGTGAGGAGTCCAAGATTAAAAGATTCTTCTGAAACATTTTGGGACGAAGTAGTGGTGCCAACTATAACAGTGGTGCTGGGTCCAAGATTAAAAGATTCTTCTGAAACATTTTGGGACGAAGTAGTGGTGCCAACTATAACAGTGGTGCTGGGTCCCATAGAATCATAAGACGACTCTTCTGCAACAATTGGCGAAGAGCTGCTGGTACTGGTTGTTTCTATATATAAAATAGATACAATAGAACATTCTACCAATTAAGATTCAGAAATATCACACCAATCATTTCATAAGTAGGTTCATAACAATTCCGATGAACATCATCATATTGTTTGGTTAATTTGATTCATTATTTTATCTTTTATAAATTAAATCGATGAGCCAAGGCTCTTTACATTTGGGTTAATGTTATGCACCACCTGCCATAACTGGGGTATTTGTTGTTGCTAAAACAAATACAGCAGACAGTTTCACAATTACAGAATTCAGAAATTGGATGTTCAATATCACACTTACAACCATCATCTTATAAATAAGTTCATAACACTTCCAGTGAACAATATTTTGCGCTAATGTGATTCATTAGTTTATCATAATAATCAAACATCAAAAGGCAGGGGTGTGGCTCACTAGTCTCTTCAGTGGGTTAATGTAGAAACAAGCCAGGTTCACAAATATAAAAAATATTACAAACAAAAAATATATCTACTAACCTGTGTCAATAAATGGTTTAACTATCAATCCAATTTGTTGAGAGGTACGACAGATACATTTACTACAAACTTTACAATAGTAGAACCCACCATCTTTTTCTGTTACCTCAACTATATCATGTGTAACTGTTAGAACTTTATCTGTAATATTATATGTACTACCGGCATGTCTTTCTGTTGTCATTGAGGAAAATAACCGTCTGAAACAGGTAATGTTATTGTAATGGCCGTATAGCCGAAATTCCGAGGCTAGTTGTACTGGTTCAACAGAATTTACAGTAATAATCTGAGAGTTAGATACGGGTTCAATTGCTTGATTAGCTGAAAGACAAGAGAATATTTTCTTTAGCATACAAGTGTTAACATGAGCAATCAGCATACTTAAATAACCCTTGACTAGAAAATATAATCTTAATCAAGAGATATATTTCATATTACAAAACTTGACGAGAAGTTTATCGAGTTTTGTTTTCTATTGCTAATACAAAAAAATTGTCGTAAGATAGGATTCATTTGTTCTGAACATACTACATTTTTCCCCATCAAATTAAAAACAATCCCATATTTAAGGAAGTATTACAATTTTCAGGGCAAAACTGCTGACAAGGGCTTTCAGTAACTACTTGGCAGCGAAGGGGCCGACTGGAGAAATGTATTTATCACCATAAATTAGAAGGTGTAGATAGATACAATTTATAAATTATCAATTTATATTTTATATATATTCAAAACATGACATAACCTACCAGTTTTAACTGATTCAGATGTAATTCTTAACGTTGCAAAACTACCACTGTCTGCAAATTCTTGACATTTCCATTCTGTACCAATTTCTTTCTCTACAGATTTAATAACTATTGCATGTTGTTTAGATTTACATTCATAACTATTTGGTATCTTATACTTTGTAATACAGGTACTTCTTAATTTAGTATTCCCAATCCAACTATCATTTATAAACCACGATATAATCCCCACATCACTTCGTCTAAAACCAGGTGAACTTAAACAGGTGAGAACTAAATAGTTACATCTTACTTCATCTGGTGAGACTCCGAGCAAAAGTTGATCTACCGTAAACAAGAAGATAACAAGAAATTAGGCTATTGCCCAAATTATAACAACGTATTAATTTTTTATCTTTTCTGTATACAATAAGCATTGATGTGTGTATACTGTATACGGAGTGGGGGCCACGGTTGCTAGGTGGGTAAGGCGCTGGCTCGCTAGCCTGGAGGTCGGGTGTTCGATCCCTGCACTGGCCGAGAAAGTTCATCCCGATTTTCCAACGTGGTTTCCCCTTGTCAGTGATGCAGAACGGAGGGCCTGACAAGGACAGCTGTCTAGTCCTTCGGATGAGACGAAAAACCGAGGTCCCGTGGGCCTTACCCACTTAGCCACCGTGATCCCCCTATGAACCGAGATATTAGCTTTTGAATTTTAAGCCTAGCTTCGATCATCATTACTAAAGTCGGTACGATAAAAAACATCGTCTCGATTATCCATTTTTGGATTTAATCGTCAATGGGTGTTGTGCAGCAGATTGGATTCCAATCCAGTGAAAATCCGACACATAAGATGACATCGAGAGTTAATTATAGTTTGGATAAGTTAATGTCTAATTAATAGTTTATATAAAATTTCAGGCCTAAAGAAAGACCTGCAATAGGCAATAGGTAAAAGGTATTGAGTGCAATACTTTGCAAGGCTTGGGAAATACATTTATCATATTGCCAAAGGTTCTTTTACGTGCAAACCAATGTGTACACGGTGTTTCTTCAAATGGAATGACTAAGCAAAACTTTATCCCTGGCAAGTGTGAGAATAGCTTGATAATTCCCATGGTTCTTCCCTTTATCGTTCGACAACTATCAACCAAAAACAAACGAAAACAGCGCTCTTGTCAGTTTTTGTTGATGATTAGGAGGACCAATTGTATGATTGAAAAGGATTTTCAGCCTGACCACAAAATATGCTGGAAGACACATCGAAAAGAATGTAATTTATTACAACCTGTTCCATACGCTTCTTTGGAGAAAACAAACCACCAACAAAAACTTTGTGTAGCACATAGTTCAAACAATTTAAATTCCTTAAGTATTCTAAACCGGACTCCTTACCTGAAGAAACTTTCAATAAGTTTACACCATAGCAGACCCAAAACAACCAGTTAAAGAGCGTCATATTGATTCAGGACTCTAAACAAAATCATGCCTTATTGCGACTATTTCATTTAATATTAATTAAATGGTTAACGGGTGTTGTATTTATATCTAAACTTGAATCTTAGAATAGTTCATATCCCACATCCGTTGTTTTAATTCTTCCTTCCAATTCGTCCCAATCCTGTACAGTCATAAACATCTTCCGCACAATGATTTAACGCGTGCGTCTTACTATGGAAGACCAAACAGCTCTTTACTCAGTGTTCGTAATTCTTAGTTCTTAGTTCATAATCCTTAATTCTTATTACTTCATTTCGACATTTGTACACTAAAATTAACATTTGTATCTTAAAATCAATATTTATTTTACAAATCAGACATTTGTCATATCAGATTTGTAAAATGTATTTTTGTTTAACATAATTTTCTTTTAATATAAAGATAAAATTTATTTTACATTTCATCATAGACATACAACGAAAAACAAATCTCGGACAACAAACCTCTAAATACAAATCTCCAAATACAAATCTTGCAAAACGTTTCTCAAAAAACATTTTTTCAATAATATTTCTCCAAAAACATTTTTTCAATAATATTTCTCCAAAAACATTTCTCGAAATTCATCAAACCGGAACATTGTGACATGAGCGGAAATCAACCTGGCATACAATAAGTCACCATAATAATATAACAAAGGAGAACCGTGACTTTTATGTCTCTCTCTACATATATACTCTTCAAAAAAAGTAGAGGATATTCAGAACAATACAAAACTGCGGAAATGCACTACTGTTTTTATTAGAGGTAACCTGTGTATGTTAATAACAGGCCAATTGCCTACACATGATGACATGAACATAAACAGTTCATATGGGCGGCTTATCTGACGGCCCATTTCACTCGCAAAGAGATACACTGTCAAAAGTAAAAATGGACGTTTTTGATTTTTGTCTTAATAATGAGTAATTGCTCCACCAATACCCAGACATTCAGTAATTCGTCGTGGCATGTTCCTAATCAACAGTCCAATCACGATTTAGGGCAATCGGACCCACTCCTCTCCTCTCGATCAATTCTTGCAGTGTTGTCGGGTGACGTTGACGTCGACGAACACGTCTCCTGATCATGTCCCAGACATGCTCTATAGGGGAAAGGTCAGGACTCTTGGCTGGCAAAGGCTAATGGACATGATGATGGTGACGCTGGAGGTATTCATTCACGACACGAGCACGGTGGACACGGACATTATCATCTTGAAATATGAAACGTCGACCTGCACGTTGAGCAATGGGCAGAACTATTGGTGCCAGGATGTGGTCACGGTAGTACACACCAGTGACCCTTCCTTGAACAATATGCAAGTCCGTTCTGCCAGTCATGACGATTCCTCCCCACGCCATAACAGATCCACGCCCGATCTGTCATGCTGTCTAACGTTAACATTAGCATGACGCTAATTTACACGCCTCCAAACGCGAGCCCGACTATCGGTGAAATCTGAGAACATTACACGCGCCCATCGACGATTACCGCAATTTTTACGCTGCCCACACCTGTCGATTGACGCCTGTTTGCCATGTGCTGGTGAGTTAACGGAGGCACAACACGCGGTCGTCGAGCATGCAAATGGATTTCTAATCGTTTGGGGTGTAACTCAAATTCCTGTAACTTGGTACAAGTTTACAGAAAACTGATTGGCCGTTTGTCCTCGATTTCGCAATACCTGTGTACGAATGTATCGATCCTGGGCTTGTGTAGTGGCTCTAGGACGACCTTAACGGGGCCTATCATCAACATTGTGTGTTTGTTGGTGCCGGTCCCACAGTCTGCTGATCACAGACTGTGACAGATTAAGCATGTTGGCTACTGCTCGCTGTGTAGAACCCCTGTCTTGATTCCGGCTTACTGCCTTGCTGAGTCAACAAGTTTACTAGCAGATGTTGTAATTCTCTCGGGGATCACGTGGCTAAGTGGCTAAGACGCTGGCTCGCTAGCCTGGAGGTCGGGTGTTCGATCCCTGCATTGGCCGAGAAAGTTCATCCAGATTTCCGGTGTGGTTCCCCCTTGTCAGTGATGCAGGACCGAGGGCCTGACAAGGACAGCTGTCTAGTCCTTCGGATGAGACGAAGTAAAGAGGTCCCGTGTATACATTGGAGTACACGTAAAAGATCCCTTGGCAGTTGGAATTCGATATAAGAGTAGGCGATAGTGTCGCTGCCCGGGCAAGATGTCCCTCATAGCACACTGTATGACGTATGCCCGTCATTAGCCCAGTATAGAAGCAGAACAGTAGGACGTTAAACCCCATTTCATTTCCCTTTGAAGCATGTCAAGAGCACGTAGGCGTTCATCATGTTGAAGACGTCTCATTGCAAATTAAACGTAACACACGAAAGCAAAGATACGCTAAACAGTAAATCTTATGCAAGTACCGATAGGAAAGCAAACATAGATAGGATAAACTAGCACGCGGCAGTTTTCATCAACCCTTCCTTGAAGTGTCAAATTTGACAATGAACCCCTCCCACGTGTATGGCGCTATTGCGTGTCGCATGGGCAGCTAAGTGGTTCTGTTGGGGTGATAAGTTCTTCATCTGTGAACATACTCTCAAAACATGTCAAGTGTCCATGACTATTTATCATATCATAACCTGCATAGGAATTTGCATTTCAATATCCCCTACTTTTTTTTTGAAGAGTATATATATTGATTAATCTGATCTAGAATTAAATGAAATAAATTGTCAGTAGTCTATTTTCAGAAATTAGGTTTTGTCTGATTGGACAAACAAAAGAGGGCTTTATCTCTTCTAAATCGTGTAATCATGAATGTGCCAGTAAAATAGCTAATACTCGTATATTCAAAGAGCGATAGACAAATATTTTCCGGTGAAGCATTATACGATAACTTGAATTTCGTATTAAGACGCGTATTTTATCTTTTAAATACCCCCTCCCCTCACTAAATAGATTTCAGACGATAACAATTATATTTGCTATAACAAGGTAGCAAATATGAATATATCAGAAAATATTTTACAATTTTGAAAATGTATACGGACCTTTTAACTGGTATGCATCCGGATATCTTGTATTGTGTGTCATGGACCGTATTTTGACGTTAAATACCCCCACCCTCTCATTTGACACGTGTAAGTGTCATTTAAAATTTGTTCTTTTTTCAAGGTATGAACACAAATGTAAAGAAAATGATTTACATAATCAGATATCGAGAATTTCTTATTAAGATCGGGGTTTTTTTTAGTTTAAATACCCCCCCCCCCCACACACACACACACACACACACACTTGATAAAGTTTAGTACCGTGGAACTTTGATCTTTTTTCGAGATATGTATATATAAATGTGCCAGAAAAAATAACTTGACAAGTTGTACGCTATCAAACTCTATTAATTGATTGGGAGGGGGTGCGTGGGGCTTAAGAATGCAGGGACCGGCACATGGCATGGTGGGTGACCGATTTTCACCATTTTTTTTATGTATGATGGGTAACCCCTCCAAAGACCACTGCCACAATTTTAGATCAATCGAACCATTCTAGAGTGTAGAAAAAAAATATGAAACTTTAAGACCGAAAAAGGTAAAAGAAAATCATCATTTTCAGGCCATTTTTCAATTATGGGGTACAACTAAACTACGGCGAGTAGATTAATGAAACATTATAGGGTAGGAGATATGGCTAGTGAGTATACATTCTAAAAGTTTGATGAACTTTCATTGAGGGGTTTTTGGTATAGGGACTTATTGCTGCAAGGTACCAAAATAGCCCAATTTAGGCATGTCATTTTATTCTATCTATAGCTCACCCACTGCGAGTATAAGACATTTTTTGAAATGCCTAATGAAAAGGCAATGATCTATAGTATTAAGATCAAGAAAAAAAATGGGCGGCACCCGACCCGTTTAATAGTAAATAATCTCCATTTTTGTCCAAAAATAACGATTTTGATCAAAAATGACGAAAGAAAAAACCCGCTTTATTTACACACTGAAAAGTGTGACAGGGCACTGGGATCAAATTTAACGTGGGTTCCAGTTCCATTAAGAACAAGCCAGGATAGAAATAAAAATAAACAAATAAATATAAACGCATTATATACTTTCATCAAACAATTCACGTTTAAAAGATGTTCTATTATCAAAACTACAAATACTTATTACCAATAAATGAAATATCGCTATACTTTGCTATCTACTGTTTATCTATCTGTTTATCTATCTATCTATCTAATAAGTATCTAATCATGAAAACTGAGCTCAGAATTACACCGTTAAAACTTTTAAACGATGAAGTTTGAACAGCTTAATTTACTGTAAATGCCAAAAGAGCTGTTCTTGGTAAATATAATTAATCTATCTAGGCTAATTTTCAACATTTTATTAATTCGGCGATATAATCTCATGAACTAGTAGAAAGATGATGAATTTTTGAACAGAAAATCGTAAAGAACTAAATACAACGTACATTTAATTTCAACATATTCCTTGTCATGCTATCTTTAATGTTCTGTGTACACAATTTGGTTTCAGAATAATTAGGGGATGGAACAGTTTTTGAAAGGGAGTAATTTGCAATCAGCTGTATACCATCTGTATAAGAATGTCGTCCTAGAAACAATGATTATCGATTAGTTGTCCTAAATTCTTAGTATATGTCGCAGGGTTAATATGTATATTAATATTGCGCTAGCGTGTTTTATTTTTGTGTGTTGAGGTTGTCCATAATAGTTTGTTCTTTGTCGGTAAGCTTGGGTGTGTCTGTCACGTGTGATTGTTTGAATGATCTGATTGGTTTTTAACTCCAGCCGCGAAATGCACGGAGATTCAACTGCACTCCACTATAGAACATCGCACAGGCTAGACATATGGAATAGACACATTTACATGTGTGTGTATTTAGATAACATATTCCATATGTATTTATAGTATTAAACCACACGTTGAATGGTAAGATTATATTCAATATCTTATATTTATCATCAATAGCTTTATAGTTGCTGATGAGTTTAAGTATGACGTGTTTGATCTATATTCGTAAAAGGCTATAATTTAAAGTGGTGCATCTGTGTTATGTATAATATTTTCCTTAATATTGTTTATTTGTATTGGGTGTAAATTGTT